CTTCACTTGAGTATTTTATACAGAGGATAGACTCAAAAATCTCTACTACTGAACTCACACATGAAAACAAACATTAAGCAACTCAGGATGAATTTCTTCTTAATCAGAATGGGATGCATATTTAAGGCTTATCCAAAGTGCTAATGTCAATAGATGTTCATCTAGAAATTTCAATGTTAAGTGGTTTAAAAAATGAAAAACAATACCTCAATCACACTTATGTGTTACCTGTAATGTGTGCAGTTCTGTAGACACTCAGGAGAGATTCAAATGCCACCCAGCAGATTAGCAGAGCATCCACAGCTACTTTTTTGTTTCTATTGGCGGTACACATGCATCAGTGCACACAACAATTTCTTCTACACATGGTTAAAAAAAATCTGCACATCGATGGAAAAGGTAAGAGGGAACATTGCTCATGACCCTCTTTTTCATCCCTCACAAGACAGAACAACTAAACTGCTCGGTTGTGTCTATATTGGCACCCTTTTCGGGAAAAGGGATGCTAATGAGACACTTCGGAATTGCAAATGCCGTGGGGGATTTAAATATCCCCCGCAGCATTTGCAGGAACATGGCTGCCGCTTTTTTCCGGCTCGGGGCTTTGCCGGAGAAAAGCGCCAGTCTAGACGGGATCTTTCAGAAAATAAAGTCTTTTCTGGAAGATCCCTTATTCTTAAAATCAGGAATAAGGGATCTTCCAGAAAAGGCTTTATTTTCCGAAAGATCCCATCTAAACTGGCGCTTATCTCCGGCAAAGCCCCGAGCTGGAAAAAAGCAGCAGCCATGTTCATACAAATGCCGTGGGGGATATTTAAATCCCCCGCAGCATTTGCAATTCTGACTTGTCTCATTAGCATCCCTTTTCTGGAAAAGGGTGCCAATGTAGACACAGCCCTTGTGTTCTAAATTTAAGGTTTGATCCATAACCCACTGAAATCAATTCAAAGACTCCTATATCTTCAGTGGACTTTGAAACAAACCCCTGGTATAGATCTTAGTTAGGCTATGAATTAAGTCCTAGCAAAATCAGAACCACCATTACAAGTTGCTTCAAGAAAACATGAAAAGTTGGTCTTGACATAGTCACATGCCAGATTATTCTTCAACACCTGAGCTGTTCCACTACACTGTGCATTGACATCCTACAAGAAACAGAAGGAAATTTTGAATAACACTAATACACAAAAAGGAGCTTATTCTGTTTTTAAAGTGTTGCACTGTAGCTTTAGATCAGAGTTCAAAATAAGCACCAGGGAATCAGAAACCAAAAGGATCCAAGCTAATGGCCATGCCCTTACATCATGCATGAATCTCTGTTAGTCTGGATTCAGATGGTAAGCATTTTGCTGGGTAGCATTACATACATAAATATCCTTACCTATATGTAGAATATGTAGCTATGTAGGGCAGTGTTTCACAACTAGTGGTACGAATACCCTCAGGGTACTCAAGAGAAGTCTGGGGGGTATGTCAACACAACTGTAATTTGGAGAAAACTGAATTCTTGTTTTAAGTTTTACAGCACTTTATTATTTTTGTACTTTTTGCACCCAAAAATTTCACCACCTGCGTGGCTACAATTAAGTTGTTTAAACAAATGTGTTGCAATAATACCAAAAAAAATTGTGTGTCTGAAAACTGTAGATACTGGGGGTACTTACAATTTTTTTTAAAAAAGGGGTACTTTATAAAAAAAAGTTTGAGAAACACCTGTGTAGGGCACCCGAAAAATTTAGGGCACTACTGGGTCTTAATAGCCATCCACCTGCCTCTGCCTCTGCCTATTCCTTTTCTCTGGCTCTGCTTCCTCCAGAGAGGATCTATTTAACTTAAAAGTGAAAAAAATCCTCCAGAGCTATTAGCAGAGCATCGAACCTGTGAAAGCCATTCAAGTGGTAATGAATCCATTTAACAGACATTTGCCAACCCCCAGTATATACAATTAATTTCTAAATTTTCAGTCTACAGAATCTTAGTTAAAAATCCCCTTTCAAATATTTCATTATTGTACTGCTGAAGACTCTTTGAAGGACAAGGGAGTTGTACTGTTAACTCCCTTACATGGTTTTGAAAAATCTAAAACTTACATAGTTAAATTTTAACACGTATATAAATCTTATACATTTTTGCACAGTTGGGACTTAAATTAACAAGTCAGCATCTGAAAGATTAAACTGAAAATAAAATTTTCCTGATGTCTAACTCATAAAGAAACTCCTGTCCTACACACTATTTGAAAAATAATATCAAGTAAATAAATGACTAGTTTATGTCTATCCTTACTGTACAAACCCACCCAGAAACAGCAGAAGTGGTAATAGTATAGAATGTGGGGGGTTAATTTAAACAAAGCAAATACTGAATGCAATAGTTTAATAATAGTCTTGGCATCAGATCTCCTCAGATCTATTCCTGTCTCTGTCCCTGCCTTGTGTTATGATCCTGGGTAAATCCCTTTGGGCCTGATCCTGCATGAGCTCTGTGAAGATGTTCAGATCCACTGAAATGTGTCTCTCTGCAGAAACAGGGTCTGAAAGTGTTCATGCTTCGGTTTGTCCAAGAGTTAAGTAGCTATAATATTTACTCCTGGGAGAATTCTATCCCACTGAGCAAGAGCAGAACTAATGTCCCCCACTGATTTCATTCTTTCATTGTTAAAT